TGAAACTTACGTTTTACGACTGTGTGCCTAAGGCTAGGGAGAGCACCCATTACCGTCTTCGGGCTTTCTCTACGACAGCTACTAATATTACGAGCAGTAGCACTCACCTTACCGTTTAACCAGTACATGCTGAGTGCGATAAATGCGGAAAAGAAACCGGTAATACCTGACGCCAACATGGAACACGGAAGCTTTCAATCAACGCGTCATTCATGTGTTTAAAACTGTGCCGCTTGAGATCATCCTACACAAGCCCCCGTTCAGGCTGACCGCAACCGAGAACTTTCCGAAATACTGACCCGATCAGCAAATATTTGCTTTTTGCGGAACACTAATATCTCTTATATCTATTTTACTAACACGCGGTATAAAAAAAAAAAAACGAATAGACAGGCTTAACATCAGTTTAGGCTATTTGTTGGCTTATACAAGTCCTACTTGTAAGTGCCCTTTACGTGTAGAATGTAGACTTTTATAGTAGGTAGTTCGTAGCATTTTACTGAGGAATTTTGCCTAGCGCGGTGGGTACTGCTGCACCGAAAACCTATAACTATCAATGTCGTAAATCAGAAATGGAGTAGTTTTTTGCCGTGGGAAAAAGTCCGCTGATAAACCCCTTAAGGCTTCAAGCCTCTCCAAACCTGATGCTTTATTTAACGCTCATGTTGTTCGCAGCTCACCATCGGTTAATCGCAAGAGTATAGACTAACACTTGTAGACCACTTAACCAAGAGCCCGTCTCCCTTCCGAGGCGTAAAGCGTCAACGATGAAACATATGCCATCTCCGAGCCATGACAAATGAGTGTTTGTTACTTACACCTCAAGAAGTACGGCGTTCGAGGTGTCGACTGTTGACGTTCGCACGCGAGATCTAGGAATTGATCATTACGTCCTCGTATTCGACGCTAGCAGACGATGCCAGCATTTTCCGCTCCGCGATACCATTCAGTTAAGGCACAAAATCCACTTCGCACATCAAAACAGAAGGGACTTACCTGTCAGGCAGTCACTCAGTCAAGGGTTTTGTTTGAAAAACAGCGGCGTACACCCCGTAATCGGTAAACAGCTACTCTGGGGCTTGTTCAGCTTGTTGATCATGCTCAACTAGAGCACGATTTGTGCCATCTGTGACTGTGTGTGGCCTCTCTTGGCCTGCTAACTCGATTTGCCTTTGCTCTTTCTTCGTTCTTTCGTGTAGCTACTGTAATTTTGTCGTCAAATAAATATTGACACACGCGACATTGGCGTGTGTTTTTCGCATTCGTTCATCTTTCGTTGGCTGTTTCGACGGTCGGCAGTGACACCAAAAGCAAGAGATGATGACGTGAAGCGTTCGAGGATCAACCAGGAAGGACTTGTACTTGCTCTAGGACCCGAAGGCTAGATCTTACGACAGGGTAGGAACTATCTCAGCAAGTGCGTCCAACAAGTCTGTTTGCCGGGTTTTCAGTTAGCCAGCAACGAGCTAGCTGTCATTCGCTCGTAGATCAACCCGAAGAACAGGCGAGAGTAATCCGTTAAGACGACCTCAACGATGAATACCATTGAAACGCAACCCCTTATTCAGGTTTTTTTTTTATGAAATATGGAAGACTCTGAGCACTTTTTAATCGTTGTAGCCAAATTGATCAGAGCTTGTGAAGGCGGCGGCGTGTTTAACGTTTATGATCTACATTGCAGGAGAAAGCGATGCCTTAGGTAACTTACTGCACAGACAAGCGGGCCACTTATGCGGGTGAAAAGGATAGTGCAATCTAATTAAGTGGCTCAAAGTGCAGTTCAACTAGTTGGGACTATTAGAATATAATGACGGGTACCAGACTAAACATTCGTCATCAAGGGCAACTTCTCGGGAGTCCTTGTCTTACACCTATCACTAAAATCTGTAACGCTTTAGACCATCTATTTTAGGTTGAACACTATTTCAATTGTGACCACACATCTTGGGTCTAATGGGCAGCTATTAATTAATCCGTCTAAACCAAGCCAAATAAAAATGGCCATTTCAAAATCTCGCATGATGATAGACTTATATATATGAATATAATATAATAATAACAATATGAAATAGTCAGCACCTCCCCAGAAGGCCGTTGATGCTTTTACGAAGCCAAATGTATGTATTCCTTTACGTCTCATTTACCTTCGATGTAGGACAGTCAATTGACCAAGATTTCAGCTCTAGCATTTCAGTTTATTGAGCACTTATCTCAAAAAAAATGAACTAGATGGAAAAATAAACACGTGCAGAAGAAAGGCAATATTCAACCTGAGTGTATGATGTTTTTAATACTCAGTTGTTAAGGGTGCCTCATTGTTAAGCGCCAACTAGTCTAGCAGAAAGTATGGGATAGGAAAATAAGCGAGTGTTTTGCGTACTTTGTCAGTCATTGATCTAGATCAAAGGAAGACATAATTAACGATTCCAATTGTGCTTAAAAGCGAAAGCTAAGGTTCTATAATTGTGTGTAAATTAAAGGCATGGGGAGCCTTACCATCCAATTCATAAGCACATCTAACTAGCGTGCCTATAAGTTAACGATTTTATAATAAAAATGTCTGCATTCCCACAAAGCTTACCTTATCAATAGATGTGTCTCGCCCAATGGGTCATGGGTCTAATGGGTCAACACCATCACCCGACGTTAACGCCATATATGCAATCCATTCTGCAGAATATTTTTGGCTCAGACCTTATGCCCTCAGCGTCATTGAAGTCGGTTTGCTCAAGATCGAAATTCGAGTTTGAAGTCCTTACTGCAAAGGAGCTATCTTAACTCATTCGAACTTCGAAACTACCTCGAGTTCATGGTGCGCCAATTGCAACGGTCATTGCACACGATAGGAGAAAGGATAAAGCAACGCGATCGATTGGCGTCCCACGGGGTGCCGTTGCATTCTAGCTCTGGTCGGATCGCTCTGCTCGACATCTTCAGCCCTGCGCAGATCGGACGGTGTCACTCGACGATCCCCAGCCCCGTGAACACCCCGCTGTGCCTGCGCCGAAGGGAATTGAGGGTAGAATTGAACACGGGCCAACTAGTGAGGTGTATGCGAGCACCCTAAGTGCAACCTGCACCGTCAAGCGTCCCTTGAGCGGCTACTGAAAGGCTGAAGCGAAAATAGGGGAAATGTTAGGCGATACAGCAATGGCAAGCAGCTTCATTGGGCTCGTGGACTGCTGGCTATTGCCAGTGATTGGCCATAATAGCTTCCTGGCTTTTGAGTACGTGCTTCTAGCGGAAACGGCGTGTCACCCGTAAAATCATGGTTTCATTGATCATTTGCATCCCCGATCGGCTCAAGCTAATTAGTTGTTCCTAAATGAAGACAGGAACATCCGTAGCAAGTTAAGTAACAAGTCGAAATATCAATAGGGCCCCACTGAGCTGATAGATCGATTTTTCTTTGCGTTCTATTGAACACAGCTTGTGTACAACCACGTGTGATCTAAACAAAAAAATTACTATCTTTGCCTCTAATACGTTTTGCCTTTTATAACATTTACCTGACTGTCAATTTAAATGAATACTCGGCTTACTAAGATGTTGCCTAGGTGAGCCTGTAAAATTTCGTAGCGATCATATAATCGCCTCATAGCGAACATTGTGTACATAAATTTGAAGCTATTATGAAGCGGAGCTAAATTAGTAGCCGAGAACACAGGACAAGTTTCAAAACCTTATTGTTTTCCTGCTTCGGATGAGGGTTTATAAGTATAGTTTAATTATTAATTACTACTATTTCGTTGAAGCACATTAATATAGCATACAATATAACAAACACCCAAAATGTTTCCAGATCGCTCTCGTCTGTACCGTCTACCTGTTAAATCTATATAAACTGTTATTCGTGCTATTGCATTTGCCGTGGGGTTAATAAAAAGTGTTTGATTGTACCGTATCATTGTTATTATGCCACAAAAGCGGCTGCCGACGTGTGCCAATTTCGAGTACGAAATCGTGTATTTACGTTCCAATTGAGGGCTAACGTCGTAGCGATCGATTTCTATAATTTTCAACAAAACAACTGCAGTCGTCTGAAGCAAGCCGATGTGGTTGTCCGGTCATCTTACGCTTTGTAGGCTACAAAGCACGAAGCAAACTCAATCGACAATTTCGACTCGCTTCTGGATCTTTCAACTATTGCTGAAAATAGGATGGCCGCGAGCCAGTATCCACTACGCCTATTGCTTCTCCTTACATTGTACATAGTAGGTGTACATTACGGACAGAGTAATCTATTCCTGCTGCAAATAGCATTGATCATCCATAAAAGAGTCTAAAGAACGCTGCGAGCTTCATTTCAGCATCTCCACCCCATCATAATGTGAAGACCTGAAGGTTAAGGTCCGGGGTTCTTCGTGACGTCACAGGCTCCGCCTTTCTGGAGCTAGCGAGGGAGAGGAGGTAGGTTGCATATAGTAAAGTGCACTTCACCAGGAACTTCAGTCTAGAAGTTGGTGCTCACGGTTTAGCCAGCTTGCTCAAACGTGTATGCGTCCTGCAAGATCTAGTACCACAAAGTGACAGTGAGTCTCAGCCACCGACACAACTTGCTACCAACGACTAGTTTGCGCCAGTGCTCACCTTCTGAATCCTACATGAAGATGATGATGCCTCCGATGCAAATGGGACCTATGAGTCTGATGGGTCCCATGCAAATGGGTCACCTGATGGCGAGCCAGATGTCCCATATGGGCCAAATGACCGGCTATCAGCAGCAACTCAGTCAGCCATCGTTTCAGTCGAACAACTCTTCCTGTATATCAAACAATCATGTTCAGAATAGCTCCGGTCAACAGCCTTCCCAGAGCGCGAATACCATGGCGTTCCCCGGTGTTCCGACCCATTCGAACCAAGAACAGTTGCCCGCACTGGTAAACTCACCTCTCGATTACGATGTCTCAGAGGATAGTGCACCTGCGTCGCCAGCCAGTGTTAGTGCCAAGACGAATTCATTATCGATGGGAAATTTGAGCCAATTTGTGGGCTCTTCTCGTCGTGGCCCTGATCATATCAGGCGACCCATGAACGCTTTCATGGTTTGGTCACGAGCGCAAAGGCGCAAGATCGCGCTCGAAAATCCCAAAATGCATAACAGCGAAATCTCGAAACGCCTTGGAAACGAATGGAAGGAACTGACGGAAGAGAACAAACGCCCGTTTATCGATGAAGCCAAGCGATTGCGTGAGCAGCATATGCGGGATCACCCCGAATATAAATATCGGCCACGCCGAAAGCCAAAGCCAGCTGGCCCCGCTGCGTCGTCCCCCATCGGAGTCACAGCTCAAACTATGTCCGGCCAGATAAACGCCAGTTCACCCGGTTTCTGCAACGACATCAACAGCGTGACAGCCAAACAACAAAACATGATGTCACATATCCAGAATAGTCCTTACAATCCGTTCACACTTCCCTATATGAACTATATGGGTCTACCCCAGATGCAAAATCAGGCGTCCTCGTCTTCTGCATCAGCTTCACCTCAGCCCCGTACACCGGAATCGGCCTACTCGTCGTGTGATGAAATGGCCAAGGAATCTTCAGACTCACCCCCACCGTTGCCAGCTGCGCTGGCTCAGCAGGCCTTTAAGGACCAGAAAGTTGACCCTCAGCTTTACCAGCTCTATCAGCAAAACCTAAACATGGGCTACGGTTATTCTTCAATGAGTGGCATGTACCCATCATATGACTACTCGGGCTGAAGGTCACCGGTCAAAATCGTTTCCCTGTGAAACCGACACTGCTTTTTTCAGCTCTTTCTTCTATAATAATAGAGAAGCCTTCGTCTTGATTTTAAGAACGTTATCCCCCTGTGAGCAATAACCTAAGCTGCCTTAAACTCTTTCTTAAGGAATTGTTCTTAAGCGTGTTGTATGTACATAGTGAAAATGAGATGTATTAAATGTTATTTATTTATAATTTATTGATTCACATATACCTGTTTACAATAATTAGTATATATATATATATATATATATATATATATATATATATATATATACAACAGTACTACTTGATATTGTCAAATAAAGAGGAGAAATGAAAATTACGAGTATCAGTTCGAATTGTTTCTGAGCTTTTTGTGACGATAGGTATTGATTTAATCAACTGAATGTGTAGTACCATTTTAACACAAAATTAGCTACTCTGATGGCGGGTTTGGTGGGTCGCCGGATTCCCAATCGTAAGTCTCGGCTTCAATTCGCTGCTGGGTCTTAATGTTCCTTTTTACATTTCTAACTGAGTTTCGAATTTAGATTTATTCCGTACTTACGTAGGTCCTATTCGGAAACTAACTCTACCGCATCACACGTTTTATTGCTAAGTGAAAGGGTAGTGAGCATCACATATGTCTTTAATCAAAGCGTCTTATTAATTAACATCATATCTCTGAGATATCAATATCTCATCCAGTTTGAAAATCGCGCGGTATGTTTCCTAGTCAGCTATTTCTATGTTTTTGCTTTTGATAACTAACTTATAACAAGATGAACCGTTTTAGACTCAACATCATTCTATAGTTTTATTCATTAACGAAACATCGTTTATCACAATTGGAGGTTATAAAAGGTCTAATGGTGAGAATACAGGTTTTGACAACTTTTTGACGTAAACTCATATTAGACGGTTGTTTATAGCACTCATTCCGGAGTTCTATTACAAACGTTTGGTAATCAAAAGGCTTGAACTTTGAGGTAGATGCGCTCTAAGTTTTTGGGGCGCTGTCTTTCCTTGTCTATAAACAACAGTAACCTCAACGAAATCGTACGCCCGCAAATGTTAGTCTGAGATATAAAATGTCTAAAGAAAACGAGATTCCATACGTATATGCATCTCTCAACTTTGTTGTGACTATGTGACCTCTCCGACCACCCGTCGCTGGGTGCGCACTTCAAAGCCATTGATTCATTTATACCACAATATATCAAAAGTGGCCTGGTCGAAAAGTGGGATTATAACATAAGCAAAGAGTCATGCTACATTGAGACTAAAATTGCTGCAGATCGTATCAAAGCTGACATAAGGTTCGGCGGAACGCCCAACTGTGAACTTGAAACCACGCTTTTTTACTTTACCAATTGTCCTGACAACCTTTTGTATTAACAATGCATATATAAAGCAAAAATACGCTCACGCGTAACCGTAACATAATAGCATAAAGGGTCCACGCACTTATTGTGAGGTGAGAATATCGCCTCTCAAGAAAAAGCCAGTAAACGATAAAAATGATTCAGACCAAAAATGGGTTCAGTGATTTTTGACGATTAGCGTTAACGTTTATTGTGTGCATTATTCATTCAGGTCGCATGAAAAAGGCCAGTTTTACAATGATCCTATAGTAGTTTTACTGAGAGTTGTCCGCCACTCTGAAAGCTCTTACAACACGCAGACCATTCCCACAGAGGTGTTTAGCTACCAAATGCAACATGTGGAAGCCATGTATCCCTTACCTGTTGCTGTAGAGACATCTCGTTCTACAGCTCGAGATACAAAAGCAACAACTTGAGGAAACAACGGGTACCTCCGAATTCTAAAAGATAGGTTGCACCATAAGGACAATTTGTTAGCGTCAGGAATGAATCCCTGCCTAGGACGACTTTATTACAGTGTTGTATGATGGGGGCTGATCGTTTATAAGTATGGGATGAAATCCCGGAGTGGCCGACTGCGTGTAATCCGGCGACAGGACGACGTTCGTCTGCGGCAGATACATTTCACCGACATCCGCCTGCGGATTCACGTGAATGGTTGTTGTATGCGTAGGACCATTTGGTATTACTGAACCTAGAGTGGCAAACAATAGGAACAGAACGAAACACATAAAAAACACGCCTACGTAGGCAACAAACCTATATACACTACGGGGGAGGCTCGACGAAATGTAACAGCACAATGATTACGTGAAGCTTAATTTTGTTACACAATGATAGACTGCCATATCCGAGTGAAACTAATAATGTATATATGGTGAAAAACTTTTGACCGATTGACCCTGTACACACGCAAGGTTTCGAGCATGGGCAGGCACATCCTGCGAGAACTGCGTAAACTCCGACATAACCTCCAAAATTTCCAGTACTTCAACACATTATTGACCTCTTATATTTCCGAATTTTAATCTAAACCCAGTCTTTCATACTTACCTTTTGAAAGCTTGGTCGTGAAGCATAAAGCGTACAAGCCCATCAGTGCCACGACGATAAAAAGCGCGTAAGCAATTGTGACGAGCACTTGCAACTTCATGATCCAGCCGACGACGAAGCACACCAAAGCGACCCCAAACAGTACGGTGGAGCCGCTTAACTTTTGTGCCCAAGAGGAGCCTGGCATCGTGTGTACGTGGGGTATTACAAGGACATCCAGTTTAAGGCGTAGAGAAACGGTCAGACGCTCGTTAGGTAGGTTAGGAGCGAGAACCTTAGCATAGGAGGTCCTAGCAACCTGAATGAATTACCATCGCCGAATTACATCGTTTGGAACTTAATGTGGTCAACTCAATTTGAGCTCTGACGCCGATTCTGTCTGAAACGCATACGAATCAAAATTCTGTATTATACGACTCAAGTCTTTTTCAAGGTTGAGGTGGTAACCTATCTGTGATTAAAACAGCAAGAGGTACGAGTTTGTTTTGAGTACAGGTCATTACATTATGTCAAATATCTCGGCACATGTCTACGCTTGTAAAACCATTGTAATCCGGTTATAGTGTATGGAAGCGAAAGTTTAAAGAATACTTGACGGCCACACAGTCTTCTTTGTATTTGATATTTGTATGTTAAACCAGTGACGCATACATTTTATGTAGCCGATATACTTTTTATACAGCGTATTATAAGCCCAGCAAGATCAAGCTTATGTGTTTTGTTTCATCTAATAATAACATAATCAACAGGTCATTCATTGAAGCCAGTTCCTTGAAGTTAGATGTTCTAGCCCCGAGCAAAACAACAGCTTTAATCGACAGAAAAAGGAAAAAAAAAGTACACGTTTGCTGTTTCTGTAGCTGTGGTCAATTCTGGAAATATGAGGTCGTCCCCAGCTACAAATACGATCTTTGTACAAATACGAGTACTACCATTATCTGCGGAACGGCATCTCAGAAGACGAAGTACAACATCTGCGATGCAATTTTTGTCTAGATAAACTTCAGTTGTGTTGATCAACACCAAGTTCCTACTTGCCAAATTTACCCATCCGCCAACCTAAAATACTTTCCAGTGTTTTGAGTGACACAAAGCCAATGATTCGTCCGTTTGTGAAGTTATCGTAAGTCGAATGTTCCTATACTGAAAATTACGGCCATTACCGATCACGGCACAGCCATAGCACCATAGCACCATAGCACGGATTGTCAGTATCAGATAAACAATGTCGCTATGAAAATTTAACGATTAATCCGTCTGTCATGACGGATTTCGTCTGATTAAATGTAACCAAGCCCAAGAGCATGTAGTCTGGATTACCCCATAAGCATCGATGTCTGTTTAAGCTGCGCCATCCAAGGTGCTATGCAATTCACTGCCGTTCTTTAGGCACCTACCCAGTTTCCACTGTAATACTATATTTGGCAAAGCATTATAAAAATTGCAAAAACTATTTAAGTTTGTCAAAAACATGAAAAAAGAATATTAATTGGTGAATACCTACGCTCGGAGCTGCTTCTTTACTCTGATATACTCATTGACAAGCAAAAACATTACTGAACGGGCATACCGTGCTCACCACGCAATACATATATGTGACCTTCGAAGACGTGAGACACAAGGAAAAATTCTGTCAAAAAACGAAGCCTTATAGCTGCGCCTGTAAAAATTCTCATTAAGTTATCGCAGTTCTGCCGAGGTTATAGCAACATGCTTGGTGATCCAGCAAGCTCTAGTAATCTTATGACATGGGCAAATATATCAGTAATAATTACAGAGCGATACGAACTCACGTCCGCATTACAGCTGGCCTAAAAGCTGGACAAACAAACGGCACGCGTGTCATTAGTAGCGTTTGAAATGAGACGCTTTTTTAGATACAGGCAAATGACGTCAATCTACGAATTGTGCAAATGCCGCTGTCCAGCGCGTTAGTCAGACCTGGCCTGCTACCTTTCAGTTCCAATCAGTATAGGTGCTCGATCTGGCCAGCTCTAGAGGCTTCTAAAGTAACCTTTACTATAAAATTGAACACCTACTAACAAATGAGAGCATTGGTATTATTATTTAGTGAGAGATGATCGCCCGTTTACTGATGAACTAGGAAAAGATACGTGGGGAAAACGCAGCTACGTATTGTAAGTCAAGTAAAAATCATCGTAGAATCATTACTAAGTATTTTATTTGCATCATTCTGTTGTTGCATGCTTTGAGTTCTTAACAAGCGTTTTTTGTGGAAACTAAATCGCCTCTACGTATAAATTCCTAAGACAGATATCTCGGCAGGGCAAAGTATCTCTTTTACTACGAGAAAGAATGAGATGTTCATGCATCTCTCTGTCTTGATTACAAAGTAAATATGACCATTCTATCATCATGTCTGTGGAGTAGTACCGGTACAGATGGCAAACAAACAAGCAGATAGTAATCAAAGGAGCATGATTCCATCAAATAGCAAAATCGTTTCATCTACGGATGTTACACCTTTTTTTTTTTTTTTGTTTAGGTTAGAACCTGTCAACTCTGAAACAGCCGATTTCAGCCCTGCCACTGAATCCTTCTAGCCAGTCATCGATAGATCAACCTGGCTGTTCGTAGAAAATCTCTCGTAATATGCAAATCTATACTGCAATCGAACTAAGGACAGCAAATTCTCCGAAACATGACAGGGCGTAAAGCCAACGTTTAACTATTGTTACTTTATCGCTATCGCAGCTATTTTTTCTAGCTTCTGCTAGCGCTATCTTTCGAAGCCGTCGACGTCTGCGGTCCCATGATACAGATGGCACTGTAGGTAAAAATGCGACCAACTCAAGGTATTAGCAAACAAGGACAGGAGCGAGTAAAAAGCCTTTTGCAAGACACGGATCGCTAACACAGAAATCTAGCTTTTCATAAGCTAACAAATTAAACTCACTTGTTTCTTAAAGCATCTAGAAATCTGCCGCTATTAGTGATTATGTCACAGGTATAATGTATACCCATCGAGCGATTCAGCGCATCCATTTTACTAGAAACCGCCAAACTTCTCCCGGAAGTTCTCTTAAAAGGTTAATCAGCGTTGTCACAGTGGTCATAGTTGTAGTTCCACATCGCTAACGACACCTGTCTCTTGATCGAAGTGCTAACCGTAATCTTTCAGAGCAGCTCTGAGTACCAGCTGCGATGGCATGGTATGAACATTGGAGAACGCATTTAAAAGGTCGACGTCATAAACAGTTACAGAATCGCTTACGAAGGCTGTGACTGAGCGATAGCATTAGCAGTAATAACAATGGCGGCGGCGGCAGCGGCAGGAGTACCGATAGGGAGAGGCCAGACCGCCACGATGGAATCTTGCCACGGTACGCGGCTTGAGGTCGAGATAGTGGCGAACGGCAGGCGGCTGCGATGTGACGATCGTGGCAGTACTGGCGCCAGAAACAACTACCCGCGCTGAGCCGTCGGTTGAACAGCAAAACACCAACATCACCAACCGTAGGGCCATTGGCAGGGTACACAGCAATGGACAGTGCGTAACCGAGCAGCCCGCACCGTGAAAGGGGCAAGGGAGCGGCTGTCGACAGACGACAGCGTCGTTCTGCCATCACTGTCACTGTTATTGTTTTCAGGCGACAGTCTTTTCTAGGGAGAGTTTGGGTGGGCGCCGGCTGGCGGACATGTAGCAGGCACGCGTGCATGCGCACTCTTAGGATAACGAAGTTCTGCAGCGGCTAGGGGTGCCTAAAACGATAATAACATTAATATCATCAACAACGAAAACAATGACAACGATTCGGGCTTCGACAATGTTCGCGATCGAGTCGCGATAAAACGGAACGCGTGCGCGACTTAATCTGATAGGACTGGAACCATCTTCTCTGTAATTACTGATAACGGTGATAAATATCATTCGGTTTGCCTGCCCATCAACGTAATCGGTGTCGATGGCGATGACGTCATCGATGCGCTAGCAGCGCGTGACGTTAGCGTCCAACTCATCAGACATTGTCATCGCTTTGCTGGAACTTGAGCCGGATTTTCGCTGTGTTATTGCATACGTGGCAGTATACTTAGTTCACTATATAAACATAGCACTCTGGGGCCAGACGAGTGACTGAATCGTTTACAGTTGATAGCAGTAGTGATCTCCTAGCGATTACGCTTATGGAACTGTGAATGGTATGGAACGGGTATGACTATTTGTACGTTTCAACTTTTCGGAGCAATCCGAACGAACGGGCCTCTAGATGAACTTCGTTTGCCGACCAGTCTGCAGCGATATATAATCGATCGTTGTATCACTTATCGAAATTAAACCATATATAGTACGGACGATAGCTATCATCAATCAATATATACACAAGTGAACTATCCAGTATTAGGGCAGGTGCGAAGGCAACCCCTTGCACAATCGGAACAGCAATTCGCTTGGGGGAATACGTATAAATCAATCGAATATCTATGCATCGTATGTGTAGTACTTGCACATAACGGCTGTACACAGCAGGTCGAAATACAAATAAGTTTAAAATTAACTTATTGATCACAGCTTTCCAAGCGGCCACCAATCCATAGACCCATAGTTCTTTATGGGGGACCCCCATAGTTCTTTATGGTATAGCCGCAGCACATACTATGGGTTTCGCGCGGTTCGGTCATTACAGGGTTTGGACGATGAAAAAAAATGATAGTATATGAGAGTTTGTGAAGCGCTATAGGAGCAATGATCGAGATGGTACCCGCTACAAAGATATCACTATCAATTCTCATAGAAAATTATTGTTTTGATATTGTACTACGTTAGCTCACGATCGTGTTTTTGTTTGCAGCTCACAGGGGAAGTAGCATTTGTCTACCGACCACTCAAAGCTTCTGTCTCATACTGGACAGCTGTTTCTCGCAGCGAGCAAAACTCAGCATAAGCGCGTGCTAACAAGAACAAGAGGACAAATACCGAGTGCTTGTAACGAGATTTGATTGTGTTATGGTATAAGTACTTAAACTAATAAAGTTCTTAAGCTATCAGGGTGTATCTGTTGTAGCGTAAGTTAAAGGTGTGTCATACACCATCAGTTAAGCAAAAATAACACAAGCCGTCACTATTCTTATTTAGTGCGTGAGCATACAATATAATAGCAGACTAAAATCATTCGAGTCGGCTTGGGGCACGTCAACGTCTCAGGCAAGGAACGGACTTTATTGTCGACCAGACGGGCGGACATTATCAACCGTAACACACACAGACACACAGACACACAGACACACACACTGAAGATACACTGAGCTGTGTTTGACAAGTTACAATTTCAACATGGCACTATAGCGTTAACAAACTACGTATACCAATTCTACATTATCTAACTTGTGTTTCCATTTGAGAGAGGCAATTTATTTAGCTTTCTAATAGAAGATTCTTCTTCTATTAGAAAGCTAAATAAGACACTTCTTTCTATCAGTTTTGAAGTAAAGACACTCATATAGATGGCGCCTTCATATGGTATATGCCACTTAAGAAATCTTGTCCAGTTAAAAACCTAAGGATTAGATTTACGTTTCCGCCTAACACGTTTCTTTATGTATATAGCCATAGATGAAGCTTATCCAAAATCATTACTGCTGAAATCTCCAAGTCATTACCGTGGTTTAGTAAGCAATTGACTGTATGGACACTTACTGCGGCACATTAGCTGCTGTTTCATGTGAGCAACAGCCACATGTCTATCTCCATTGTGACCTGGTCGGATAATTTCATATATCTAAATTTGCGTGTTAGCTAGACATAACTTGACCTCCTCAAATCCGGTCGACACATTAATGATTTTTCGCAAATTACATATTTATAACAGGACGTTGTACGAAGAGGTCAGGCTAAATGTTTGCTTGTCATTACCTCCACATACGATCCGTTTGTGGTCAACTTACATATGAAACGATCGAGAACTAATGGCCAAAGTAATCCAGAAAAGATGCAGAGTTTTTCTCCAACATATACATTGAATATTAGATTTTTTTATCCACTGGCTAGCGGTATAATGCTGACACTTATTTTAATGTAACACTGAAATCGGCGCTGTAAAAGTGGTATAGATGTAAACATACTACAATACAATTAGTTTGGTCGCTTGCCACAGATGGCGCCACAGGCGAAGCAGAAGTGCTTTGGTCAGGACACACGGTCAGTCGTTAAGCAGTTGAATCCAAACACGTCTACAGGAGGACGCCAGCTTCGGATTCATACGGTAGAGATATTTGCGGTATGCATCTTCATCTCGATTCTATGCGTTTCTCCCGAGGCAAGTACATGACAAAACCCCTTTGGAAGTTGGCTCGGACGACACTGCCGAAGTTGTAAGATTATACGTACAGATCGGCCATAAATGAACTAGCCATCTGACTATTTCCGCCAGTAAAATAGGTCGCATTTCTAGAGCACGGCGCCTGACGTCCACTTGATCTGAGATCATTCGAAGGCACCAGATAGTAGCGAAAGTCGACTTCTGAAAGACTGTATGAACGGGATAGCATGAAAATATCTAAAAAAAATTACGAAAAACAGACAGAGTTCTCTATAGAATGAGCATCTTTCATAGTAAGAATTGGTTAGTTTTAGTAATATTGCCGTTTTTAATTTTTATTGGCTACTGCCAATGAAATAGGCCGAGAAAATAGGCTTTTTGCAACAGTTACGTAAAAATACAAATAGTTCTTCTTTAGGTAATATTTTCTCTAGTTAGTTTTTTGCTTTTTGTGATTTAACTTATTCGTTAAAGTTTCCATTTGTCTGCGTGCCAAAGAACGGATGTGTGGTGAGTTAATATTTTTCAACTTCAATTAGCTGTTCGTTGAATATGTCAAAGGACTACGAATTGAAGATTGAAACTTTCGCTTGTCATTACAAAACATACCTTGGCCATCCCCCCATATCTAAAGGTTCGCCTAATTATTTGTTAATACCTGTACTACAAGACCTGTGACACAAACGACAAGGTATAAAGCCAGTAAAAGAAGCTTTCTGGTGAAAAGTGGTGTCCTCCAAGAAAATGTACTGTATAATTCCTACTATAAACACAAATAGCTTACTACCTCCTAAATGTCAGGAAAAGTACTGACCTGTCTTGCTTTTCGAACGTTCAGAGGGACATTTGATCGTAAAATCTTGAAATACGTTTGAGTTCATGACAACACATGTCTTGTGAGCATAGCTCGTACGTGATATACTAGATTTTTAGGTAGCGTAGCGGACGTGGACGGTAATAAAATGATTTTGGTAAAATCGGACTCTTGTGGATATGGATGTCAATATGCCTAATAATAGAAGTTCTAAAAAAGGACGGATCGTTTTCGTAATTAAATGATTTCTCATTCACTTTCACAGACACCCGGCGAAAAAGGATCGGCAGCCGAACACAAAATAGAATAAACATTAAAGTATTTTTTAAACGCAATACCCACCAATCGAAAACACGTTGCGTATCCGTTAGAAATTAATTCAACGCCGTTTATTTTTCGCCTATGTACATTTTGGTATTTGCTGTGCGGCCGGCTGGCTAATGTCACGCGGTGTCTGTTAATGCTAGAGAAATAAGTTACACGAGATAGCAGAACCTTATATTCGCACGATAATCGATTGCTAAATATCTATCATTATACATATTATATTCTATAGGTCTGCGAGTGAAAAAGCGTTCTTTGTCGGCCAATTTCAAAGCGGTTTATCTACAGAATCAGGAAAAACACCTACCGTTCTAGAACGCTTTCTCAATAAATTGACTTTAAGGCAACGTCTATTGCTCACTGGGCTAACATTGTTCCAGACTAAGGTTTTTGATTTAGCAAGATCCATCTTAAGCAGGTCGATCGTGATGATATGAGCATCGAAGTGGCCCAAATTACTTGACAGACATCTAAGTTCGTTAGGAGTAATCATAAGAAGCGGCGTTTGAGTAGCCCGTATAGCCGGGCAAATAACCCATTGAACCTACGGACGGGTACGATCCCATAACAGGGTTTACTGATTGTGCATAGATCGAATACAGCGAATCCTTCAAATTCGCCTTGCTATCCTGGGACGATATCGGGCCAGTTGACGACTGCGCGTATAGAGAATAGAGAGAGTCCCTCCGCTGGTTCTTGTTGTCCTGCGCTGAAATAGAGGGGTTGGTAGATGAGTGAACCGGTGGAGGCGACAGTGATGACTCCTTAATATCATCCGAAGACGAGTAGGTTGACTCTGGAGATCGCATCGATGAGCTGTTGAGCTGGCTTCCGATGTAGTTCATGTATGGCAATGTAAACGGATTGTAGGGACTGTTTTGAATCTGCGACATGACGTCCTGTTGCTTCGAGCCCATGCCGGTGATGTCGTTAGCATTAGGGAAGCCGGCTTGATTATTATTGTTGGCGCTGCTGTGGTTGCCGTTAAGCTGACCTGGCATATGCGGCGCGCCGACGCCAATAGGAGGGCTTACCGAAGCCGCTGGTTTTGGCTTGCGACGAGGACGATATTTGTATTCAGGATGATCACGCATATGCTGCTCGCGCAGCCGTTTGGCTTCATCAATAAATGGTCTCTTCTGCTCTTCGCTCAGAGCCTTCCATTCGGAACCAAGACGTCGTGAAATTTCGCTATTGTGCATCTTCGGGTTTTCCAGAGCAATTTTACGTCGCTGGGCACGTGACCACACCATAAAGGCGTTCATCGGACGTCGAATGTGGTCTGGACCTCGGCGTGATGAACCAACAAATTGGCTTTGAGGATTCACCGAAGGGGAAGAAGCACTCGAAGTGACACTTGAGTTGATGTTATCTGGAGATGAGGGTGCACTATCGTCAGAAACGTCGTAGGCGAGGGGCGATGCTGCTACAGACGAAAGCTGCTCCTGTGTTGACGACTGAATTGAGCCACCAGGGAAGGCCATGGCTCCATTGCTATTTAGGGCATGGCCGTTACTGGAGTCATTGCCTGAGTTGTTGTTTTGCTGGTTGAACGCCTGTTGATTGAGCTGTTGCTGGTACCCTGCCATCTGTCCCATATGAGACATCTGGCTGGCCATTAGGTGACCCATCTGCATTGAACCCATGAGACCCATGGGCCCCATTTGCATCGGGGACATCATCATTTTAACCTGACGTTAGGCGATCGAGGTAAAAGACGGCGTAACAATCAATATCTAGTCCACACAGAAAATGCCGCTTAGTGATCACTTAACGCAGCTTCACCTATGAGTCTTCTTACGCTGTTGTCCTTCGCGTTGTCCACCGATTGTGCGGACCTCGTTAAGTTTGTTGTCGCTTAGTCAGTAGGTTAGGTGGGTGACAAGCTTTAAAGTCAGCAATTTCCTTTTATAACCCAGAGAACCAGGACCGAATTCCCTTTCCCTTGCGAAGTTGTCGCGCCAAGGTGGGGCTTCGGACCTCGAACCCGTGACGTCACTGGCTCCTCCCTTCGCGGCGGATAGAGTTCGAGGTCCTAGTTGTGCTAACCAGGCCACTAGAGCATCATCGTTCCTGACCGAGAACCGAGTTCTCGAGATTCGGTGCAACCTCCCTGTTGAACCAACCTGCTCGTATTGTACCTGAACCATGCGCTCAAAGCTTGCTTGAGACGAACTCGTCGAATAAAAAGCAACAGTGGTCCCGGTCTGTTTGGTAGGCCGGCTATGTTGTTGAGATCTCGTTGTAAGGGAAAACTTTTTTGTTGTTCTGTTCATTGTACCTTTGTCGTTCGATGGCAAACTAACGGGACTTAAGAAGCTATTCTTGCACTTTTTGTTCAATAGGCAAATAAGGCATCGGTGATATTGAGTAGAGAGGGGTATATAAGAGAGGGGCAGTTATTGCAGTTCAGCACTTGTACAGGATCATTGTCGCTTAATTGTTGTTGTTGTTGTGATAAGTCACGTGACCAACTTGGGCGCCGGAGTTGTCTGCAGACAAATAGTCGATTACCACGTTCCGAGTCAATGGCTAATGCGGATCGGGTAAAGCTTCCTTTCCTAATTGCTGAAACTGTTGGAAATGTACTATATTGTATACTATATTATATATACTACGATATTATTGAACACATAGTTCGATACGAACTGGGTAGTTGAGAGCATTTTTTATTGCTTGCCGTATACTAATATCATGCTAACTCAATAGATTACACGGCGGGTCTTTAAATGCGGTAAAAGGTAAACTTTGCAGGGCTGCCCCAAAGGCAAGCACTGCCAAATGTTGAACGGGCAGCGCGCTGTAAATAAAATCCTACATATCTAACGGTCTTCAATCAATGATCTCAGCTAATTTATTGACTGAGTAGCCTAAGCAGAGTAGACTATATGACACACGGTCTACTATGGCCCTATAGCAAAACTTTCTCAAGTATAAAATTAGTTAACTATACACATCCTGTAAAGTGATTATAGATTGAAAAACACGCACTTTATAGATTGAGAATTCAATGAATTTCATCCAAAGGTTGTTCTTAATCAGACGTGAAGTTCAAGTTCATTTTAGAAGTTTGTGTTATCTTTCATAACCAAATCTAAATCATACTAAGCGAAATGTCATATAAGGAAATTCAGCTTTATTTCTCATCTATAGAAATGCGTTAGCTAACAAACTCGTCAATACACGTATAACGTTTCCAAAACTACAATCGATGGTCAACGATAAGTTCTCTAATTCGCACAGTTTGTTCAACAGGAGTAATTTGGTAAGTTGCGTGAAACTGGCATATGTGCTCAGTAATACAGGCATTCAATGCAGCCAGCCCAACGACCTTGCACCTACTGGACGTCATCTTTTCATTAAACATCTATTTAGGCCCCGCGTCCAAATCTGCTCGTTGTTTCTAGTGCATTTGTTCCCTATCAGTCATGCTTCTTATTGTGACACAGGGACAAACGTTATACACTATGTTCGAATAGATGGTGCTTATAACTTAGCCTAGATGGCAATTCCTGCATCAGCATCAACTACCCAGTGTAGTTTTTCGCAATAGTTGCGGGCAGCCATCGGCACTGTAAGCGTTGACATGTATACAATCATCAGCTACGCACGATGGACGACGGGATATTCCAGCAGCGTTGGCTAGATAGTCAACAAAACTCTAGTACAGCAAAACACGGACCAGTTCAGCTTGGACTATCAGAATACAAAGAAGAAAGAGCGCACGCAGGAGACGGACAAAGGTGGGCTAAAGGTACGCGTAGCGGCCTGCTCTCTCGGAGGCTGTGTCTCTCTTTTCGTCTCTCGTTGCCTTCTCCCCTCCCCTCTCTCTCTCACTGTCTCTCTGCGTGTGTGCGTCTGCACGAACGTCACCCTAAATTCGCATCTTGTTGAGGTCCAGCGAACTGTGGAGCGGTCGGTACTTGTCTCGGTGCTATATTACTTCATGTCTTACCGTATAGCCTATGGTAGGACTGCTTTTGCTGCTCTGAGGTCGTGGGAGTCTCGGTCTTTATGCCAGGCAGTACGCGTTGACTACCATCTAGTCTATCGCTCGCTCGCTCGCTCACTCACTCGTCCATTCGTTCATCTTCTTTTTCTTTCAGAGCAACTCTGGTGTTGCTCGCTGGTTCGCAATTCAACAATGGCACGGACTCAGACTGTCCTGTCTATTGGGCTTTTCTGCTGCAAGGAGTTAGCGCACAGAGCCAAAGAGCGACCGCAAGCAAGCACACAAGGAGACTTATCGAAGCCTACCAAGACGAGGAGAAACGAAGATTTCGAGCAGCGGTAGCAGTCTCAACTTTAACCAGATCTGCGAGGCGACTACGACGACGACGGCGGCGGCGGCGGCGGCGGTGGCGGCGGCCCGCGTGCCTTTGCTAGGGCTCCTCGGACAGCTTTCGGATAGATTGAGTTGCTTTGTCTGCAAGGCTGACATCCACCGACGTCTACCAGGCATCTTCGTTTTCAGGCGCAGTTCGCCACATTCGCAGGCAAAGCCTACCCACCCGCCTGCCTGCGAGGCAGCGCACTCTGCTTTACTGGCCCGTCCATCTCTGTCTACCTTGCATCTACCCTCTCGTCGTTGTAGTCATCGATGCGAGAGACGACAACGCCGGCTCGCCGCGGCCGCAACTGCCCAGACCAGGCCAGTCACGGACCAGTTGCTGGGCTGCCTACGACTATGCGCATCGTAGTAGTATGTTGCATTGTTGTCGGGAGGGGCCTCTGTCGGACGTTGCGGGCTGCGATCGGTTCGGTTCAGTCCGATCATACTTTTTCGACCAGAGACCTCAAGATCCTCAGCTTTGCTCTCTACCTCGTGAGCTCTTTTTTCTTTTTCACTCTCTCACTAGATTTCTTGTGAATTGAGGAACTGAGGGGGAAGTTAGCGACGGGGGCAGCAGAAGGTCAGCTCAAAGCCATGAAATTGGACACTGCACGTTGGCGAAGAATCGAAGTCATGTCGTTGACGATGTATACGGAATTAGTTCGTCGAGTTCGACTTTGGCGGTGACGGCGATGGCGAGTGACCAGCGCATACGGTTGAGAGAAACTGGGCCCTACCAGACGCCTCCGCCGCTCGGTACCTCAGCTATTCAACCTGTGCGTCTATGTAGATCAGTTTTGTCTGGTATTTCGCGCACAGCGTGGGCGAACCGATAACACAGCGGACGCTGACAGATGTATTCCGGGTCGATGAAAATGCTCTGATCTACGACAAAAATTACACCAACCCCAGTTTGTCCAATTCGTCCAGATCGTTTGTAGTTCGGCGTGTATAGAAAATTACAGAAAACACAAAACATTTTCCGGTAGAATTCTATATTAATTGGTCGTGAATAAAAAGAAGGATCGACGAAAAGATCAAACGTATTGAAATGTCGACGCTCATTTGTTGTGTTGGTTTCCGGTTGAGTGATATATGCTACCGATAATCTTATTTGTTTTTGTTTGGTAGTTCATATCATTATAGCTAGCTTATTTTCGAAAAATCGTTGTAATCGTCGTATCCACAGTTGCATGTAACTTAGCAGGAACGTGGCGTCATTGTTCCATTTGTCACGCTACCGGCGGGCACGTCGGTGATGGTTTTCTTATCACGGGACAGGGGCTTGAAGGTGTATTACCAGTTAATGTGAGATTTATAAATTTTGACATTTTTGTGAAAAAAACAACCTGCTATATTTGAAGCAACCACCATCCCTGGTCTAACGTTGATATCTAACGGCGAAAATTAGTCTCTTAGAAAGGTGTAGTGTTATAGGTAGCAGCACTATATATATTGTATATATATATATATATAGTGCTGCTACCTAACGCTTCCACGAACATCAACTTAAAGGCCTGTCGCGTTGATAATGCGAACACAAAGAATATGCAAAAAAAAAAAACAGTCGTTCAAATATCTATCGTTTTCATCTTCAGGAAAATAGGCAACTTCTGGACACGGCAATCGGCCACAAAATGCCCAACATTCCGTATCTGTTGTGGTACGGGGCTCGTAGTTGAAGTGTCGTACTCGCATTAGTAAAAAACTAACTTATATGATATAAAATTCCTATAAACGGGCAAGCAAATTGGGCCTATCGTCTAACGGCTATTGTAAAAATCCTTGTTGTAAACAGTGCAGTAAATGTCCCAGTTATTTTTAGGCTAATGCAGGTAGTGGATTTCACAAAGCCACAAGCTACCTAAGAATGCCATAGGCACTATAGTTCTGCCAATGACCTTAAGAATGAATAGCCTATCATAGAGTGGTTTAGTGCCGAATTGAAATAGATAACAACTTATTGTCTGTGACGATGACCGATTGCATAACGTTAGCACCGAACAATGAGCTTTTTCCACACGTAATTTCTATACGGCAGTTTAGCAATAGAAACGATGAGAAAGCGATGCTTTATCCGTATGTGACAACAAATTCTAAATTCTGATTAGCTATTATTGTGTCACATAAGGACTTAAAAAAAGGTCTTTTCGAGAATATCGATTCTTGAGGGTGATAACTAGGTTTTCTTGATAGTGCTGTGGAAACGTGCTTGCTTTTAAAGACAGATGGCGATCTGGGTTTGAAGCTGGACGAAGTCCCATTTCGTTTTGTGCTTGTAGCCTACCGTCTAGCAATGCAGTACGACGCACAAAATTCGAAGCATCTATTTAACATTGATAATCATACGTCTAACAAGAGTTATTCTCGTCGGGCATATATAGTACTGTCTATCAGTTTCCTTTACGTAAGTACACGAGAATAAATATTCGTTTGTGCTCCCAATTATAGATACATAAATGTTTCTTTCTAATGTCA